ACACTACTACTGTTATTGCTTTAATTAGAAGCTAACACTGACTGTATAAGCCGTCGATTTTCACATCTAGTTCGTGATTTGTTAGTTTATCACATGTGCGGTCGAGCAAGAGTATGCATGAACCAGTCCATGGCGACCACCTGTCCAAGGCGACCACTTTTTGTCGGTCCCTTGAGTGGTCGCCTTAAACAGGTTTGATTGTATAATTTTTTGTTTTGCTCTCGTTTTATATTCTGCCTGTACTACTATCTTACTGATCTGATTTGCGGAACCGCAGCTGAGGCGTTTCTCACTCCTATCTAATGTGTACAATGATTTAATACTGAGAATAGGGAGCGAGACAAAAACCTGTGTTGCTCCATCGTAACTGGATCGCGCACATGCGCGGAATCACATCGCTGATTCCTCTGCGGTTGCAACATACTGCAACTGCACTACATCTTTTCCGGGCGCGATGCGCTCCCTATACCTGTAGTCCGCAAAGTGGGCGTCAAGGAATCTTTTAATCTTAGGTAATATGCCCATTCTTATTGTATATTGCAAGAAGAAACGCAAGCGGTACTCTTAGAGCGAACAATTGTTTTCGATTTATTCATCATCAGGCTTAGTACAGAAATATACGTTAAGTGGAGTTCATTCGGGAAACAGTGAGCAACTATTGATTGAACAAAAGTTTTAATTGGTTAACGTAACGTGCCATGTGGTCAAGTGACTGAAGGCATGTGACACCACTAAGCGAGGCCCGAGATACATCTTTGTTAGTGGCTGGCCAGGGTAGTTGTAATGCTTGGACATGCTTCTTCTGAATGCATAGATTAGGTTTTGTCAACCTGATGCATACCGCTTTAGCGGTAGCAAGTAGCCGAGCCCCTGAACCCATGGTGTAGTGGCCATGGCACTCGATAGAGGATCTCAAATGACTTGCGCTTATCAATCAGATGACTGGTGTAGATCAGATGGTTAGTTATGGCACTCAACTCACTTTTGTCCTGTCGGGTGACCAGCGACGTTGGTAAAAGTTCCTTGATTCGCTTTTCCAAGTGCCTGGTCCTGCGCCCAATGTACCTAGCCCTACAGGAGCAGGTGAAGCGGTAGATTCCCATTGATTGGCGCTGATCAGGCATCTTGTCTTTGAATCTAGGAACAAAGAGAACTGCTTGTAAAAACGACACTTAGTTGAGCTGCATTAAAGGTCTTTCGGCAAGTTTGTATCAGTCGTCGTGTGCAAATCTCAGCCGGTATGTCACCCTTAAAGGGAAGTTGGAGAAATAGCTGTTTCCCCTCTACCGTTTGTACTGTTGGTCTTGGGCTACTAGGTTTTCTATGAACGTCAATGAATTGCTCAGGATAACCGTTTTCGAGAAACGTTTGCTTGAGTCGCTTCATTTCATCTTCAATTGTGTCCTCAGTACAGATCTTCCGTGCACGACACCGATTTCGCATCGACTAACGTCTCCGACAATTTATTCAAATATTTCACCATTCGACGCTCGCAGTATAAAGGGTGAGTGATGTGCTTTAAAACCGGTATCACTAGTGTGTACCGGTGTTCGCGTGTGCTGCATAGTGCACGAACGTGCAGCAGCGGCCTCAACATAGGGAAGTGGCCCAGGTGCAGTATCCGGTGCGTCATAATGAGATCGACTCGAAGCCGACGATATGACAGGGTCTAAAGCCCTAGTCTCCTACATCGGTTCTCGTAAGACATACAGACTGGGGATGAGCCGGGTAGCTACATGCCGTACCCGTTCCAGTCTCTGCCCCTCACCTTTTGTAATCGGACAATAGGCGGATGACCCATACTCAAGCACCGGTATTTTCATGAAAGAGAACAGACGGGTGGCAATCTCTTCAAAACAAGCGCAGAAGTTGTGTCTAAGTGCCCAAAGCAGGTGTAGTCCTTTTGCGTACGGTTTGTTCGTGTTGTCTACAGACTTCAGATCACAGAGTGAGAGTACGCCTAGATCCTTTACGGAACTGGTGAGGTGCAACAGGTGGCCGGCCAGTACCACCTCTCCCCACGCTCATAAATGAGGACTTGGCCGTGTTGACCGGTAGGTCAGCTTCAGAAGGCTACCGGGATAGGCGGTCGAGGTCCTGCTGAAGGACGTCACAGTCGTCCGGAGGATCTTCCAAATCTTCAGGTCGTCTGCAAACAATGCGCAGGACGACCGAAGAAGCTGAGGTACTTCCTTGATGTGGATCAAGAACAAACTGGGCCCCAGTATTGTGCCTTGGAGTACGCTACTAGTGAACGGGCACCATTCCTTTAGGGGGTTATCCACCTGAACCCGCCATCGTTTCCCAATAACGAAGTCACTGATCTACTGGTGCAGTGCGCCACTTTCGCGCACCATTTTCCCTAGCTGCACCCATGTCCTATCAGGTGTCGAGTCAAGCACAGACTGAGTCGCACTGACTTCAGTCATGAAGTCGGGAACGATCAACGCACCATGGCTATGGAGTGGCGACCTCATTTCCCACCACCAAATTAATGACATTATTCCCGAACTCACAGCCATTCTTTATCAGACAAATGCTAAGTGGGGTAAGAAACGCGTACAGAAGCCAACACAACTTATTATTTCTCAGTTGCGAACTAACCTGATTACTACAGTCACGAGGTGGTAGTTGGGGCTTCAGGATTTCGCGGGTCCCATCGACAAGTAAGTTATTTGCACTCCCGCTTGCTTTTCTCCTCCTGTTCCGTTCGTGTGGGGATCAATCCTTCTCTGGTGATTTTGGCCAGCACTGACCGTATTGAGCATTACGCTATACCTTTCTATAATCTACTGTTTCAAAACTTATACAGGGCTGGCACAGCCCTGCCAAACTCTCCCGGAGATAAGTCAGAAATACTATCCACCTTCTTGACAGCTTGTAATATTTCTGGCATGTACTTTAACCAATTCCTCCCAAGTAGGTTCGGTCCGTCTGTGTTGACAATGATTAGTGGAAAAGCCAACATATTGTCTCTATGATTTACTTCCACATCAGACACGCCCAAAACATTGAGTATTTCCCCAGTGTACAATCGTAATACAGATTGTGTCGGAGTCAGAACCAGGTTTGCTAAAGTTGCGTTGTTGATCAATGTAACGGAAGCCCCAGTATTGATCTCCAGACGTAATGGTTGGCCTTCAATGTTTAAATCAACAGTGTACGGGGGTATTCCCATTGCGTGCGATGTGGTTGTGTGCGAAATTAGATAGAATATTGGATTGTCAGCGTTTTTCACAGTTCGTACGGTATGCTGGGTAGGGCGAGGTATCGGTCGTTGAATCACTGTCGAACGGCATACGCGTACAATTTGTCCGACTTTTCCGCACTTGTGGCAAGTAGACTGTTCGTGTCTGCAATCAGTAACCTTTTCATACTTCTCGCTTCTTCGGTATCACGTAACGAAACATTTGTTGGTGAGTAATAGTCGTGATTTAACCGCATGGATGGCATCTGAAGGAGAATCGCTCCGATAATGAATTACTTGTAAGTGTAATGAATTAATTGTTGCATAAGACTTTCCCTTTGTCTGACCAGTGAACAGGCTGTTTCCGAAGTACGTTTATTTTCGTCTTCTGACAGCAGTCGTTCTCTAGCTTTATCGTCTCGAATGCCAACCAAAAGGCTTTTCACCGCCACCATCTTTTCGAATTATGTTGCGGGCATTTCATTGTAACGACAGTCAGGAAGTGACTGTTGTTTACGACTGATGAATTCATTAACACTCTCTTATTCTCCCTGTTGTAAGTGAGAAAAACTTAGGCGAGCAGTATAAACATGTTGCCGCGGCCCTTCAAAAGCCATTCAGGGGTGTGGTTTCATACAAACGCAACGTATCAAAATTCCGTTGACCTTATTCACCGAGGTGTTGTCTCGGTAGTTTGATAGATTGGGTTTCACTAAGTTTGATGTAGGGGTGTGTAATTGTGCAAATCTCAAGATAGTCACACAAGGTTCTTTTCCAACGATTACAAACTGCTAAGGATTTCTTGGACAACGTATCCTTCCAAATGGGATCTGGCGGGGTAAGATGGCTCATAGTAAATAATTCCAAGTTTAACCTTCATCGGCAAATGTCACAGTTTAGCAAGTGCGGAACTAACGCTCAGTGGCTGGCTCTTAGCCGAAGTAACGAAGCAAAACACGTCAAACACACGGAAGACAAAACTGTATTCCAACCGGCATGTTGTGCAATGCATTAATCCAATTTTATAAACTAGTCCAATCAATAAGTGGGGGAGCGGGTTACTGACACACGCCAGCGGATACAGGCAACGAATAGAAAGGGCTTAATACCTTGGTCGTGAGGATGCCACACCAAACATTACTCCCAGCCTGCACAGAACTACTAATGGTCGCGTGACAGCGGATCGTAGGTACCAGGCCCCGGCCTGCCGTTGTTATAATACAATAATGGGAGCGCGTCTTCATCGTCTTAAGCTAGCCCGCTCCTGCTGGGATATGTTCTGTGGAGTCTACGGGTCTTTTTCTTGTCGATAACCGGCGCAAGAACTCAGTCCATTATATGAAGATGAATCATAGTTCATACCTCAGATGTCTGGTTGTGGTTTCCTTGTCATTTCTTTTTATGTACACATTTTGCCCAATCTCTACTTATCCATATCTACAACTTAACTTGCTTACTCGGTCTCTTTCGCATTCCCGATACTATGCGATCCTCAGACGATACCTATCACCCTGCCTATCCACGCAGCTGAAGTACGTCAGCGGTTTTCCAGCTGTTGTAGACACCGCTTGGTTCTGCTGGGTAATCCCTGCTCTCCACTGCTTGTTTTCTGGCAGTGAGTGCTTGTTCACTTGGCTTGTTAAGCGTTTCTCTATTTTCTCTCATGCGATTACCCGCAACTCCTTTGAACTGCGTTACAATGTGCGGAATTTATCTAAATGTAATGGTGAGCCTAGTTTTACCTATTAAACCTTTGTAACCTTTACCCAGATGTTGATATTTTAGGTAGCGGTTCCATTTTCCTGCTTTGCAGGCTAGAGAAGCTCCGTTCCCGTCCTACCAATGATGTACCCGAAATTGAAACCCAAGTAAGTGGTTGTGTTGCTGTTTATTACCGTAGCCATGACAGTGGTGCTCAATTTGCTCTGCCTGCACTGCCATAATGGTCGAAACTCACTGATGATACTCATGTTTTTAGCGCGACATTCATGCGTTTCTATAGTTGGTTAGTTGAATTCCAAGCGTGGCCCATTGACGATATTGCCATAACCGTGGTTATTGCGCGCAACTCTCCTTGATAGGGTAGGGAGCATAGGATCGGTTCAATCGATGGTTGGTAACGCAATCCAAAGTTCGATAGTAAAGTTGCTTGCATCCGGTTCTAATCGCCACTTTCCGTTCTAGACCTTCAGCTCATTTTGGGTGACAATTTTTGTATATCTTCTTCGCTTAAATGTTATCATTCGTAATTAATAACGCCGCCATTATCGGTACTACATTGTGTGAGTCATAGTTGATAAACTAAACCATCTCACACTCCTTCGTTCGTTAGCGTTGGCAAACGACTTTCCTCTAGTGATCACTTCGGAAGTCCTCACGTTTCCTTTTCCAATCCGTATCACTACTCAGAAGCGTATTATCCTTACCTGACAATGATTGACTCAACTATCTGTATTGGTTCGTGTACTGGAGCTTGTTTTTCCTTTATGCTCTGTGATAGTTAGTGTCCCGGTTTTTATCATACATCTTATCTATTTGCACTGCGACGCAATAGCTGAGGTGTCACATAAGAAAATGATAATGACAGTGACGACTACGCACCTTTAATCTTCTTAATCTGGATAACGAGTATTCCGTATTATTTGATTTGCTCAGTTCCGTTATTCTGCTGGATATACCGTTTCCATTTTACGTGTTTGCTTTCCCTCTAATTCTCTGTTAGTTGTTTGGTATCCCCGGTGTGACTGCGCTTGATGCGAATGTTGACAAGATGCCAGCCTGTCTTACATCCTCTACGATTACTGACTCCAGGAGACTGTGAACCGTTGCTGATGAGAGGACGGGGTACACGGTCCTCGTGGCCATGCTAGGCTCAAAGAGTGGTTCCATCCAGTGTGGAGCGAACTACCGCCCAACCACCGCCTTGTGTACGTCTGGTATGCATGACACAGATAGACAAGAATGCTGTTGCCGTGAATGTTGAAGGAGTATCGGTCGGCTCCGTTGAAATGTGGTTCCCATCCCCATGTCTTTCGGTCTTGTTTCTTAGAGTTTGCATTACATATGGGGTGGGTATATGCAGCTGTTGGTGGTGCAGCGCAAGCCACCCATGGTCCGTCCGTAGGCGCAGGGGTCCTGGGGCTGTCCTATAGAAGCCACAGTGGCAGGCTAATCCGGAACCGGATGACGCCAATCATGTATATATATATATATATATATATATATATATATATATATATATATATATATATATATATAATCTCACTGGACGCAATTCCGAAATTGACACTTTACTGCTCCACAAAACTTCTAGCCCAACCGAAGGAAAAAGCAGAACGCCAATGACCTTGACAAAATAACGTATTATTCGCCGTCAGCAAACACTGTACAACTATCGCGGATCTTGACTCTATTTATAGGTCTCTTACTGACCTACGACTTCTAGCATTAGCAGGTCAGCTACCGAGGTTAGTGGTTCCCCATATCTTTTGGCGAAATGTCAGGTGGTTTTTAATCACGTACAGAAGCTAGAACATTCCGGAACGTTGGAAGTCGGTGCGATAATTGTTATTAATAGATTAATCGCTAAATAGTGGATTTTCTAGGGAATTCTTACTTTATCCCAGACCCCTCCTGAGATATCGTCCGAGATATACCCTGAGAGCCTAGGATTAACTTGCAGTCTTCGGGACGGTGTTCTCTTCCTGTCGGTCCATCTACTTGGCAGAAGTGCCCTAGAACTGTGTTCCGATGTCCATGTTCTGGATTCTTTGCTCGACTGTGTGCAGTCATCCACTACTTCCTTCAGCAAGTTGAAGCTTTCCACCAATAAATCGAACGGGAGATCGGTAGGCCTAGCTTGTTCTGATTAGCACAATGTTGGCCGTAACTGCTTTGCATGCCGGACCCAGATCTGTGCACCCACGATCAAGTCATGCATGACATTTTCGCGCTTGCTTTTGACCGTCCCTGGCGTCCATTTCGCGTGATCTTCCCGATAGTCACGTACTAGAATTTTCTGTCCAAGTGTAAACGTTTGCTTCTTTGCTCCATGCTGCCGGTTAAAATCCTGTTCTATTCTGCGGTCGGATGGCATCGAAAGGCATGCGGAGCTTCCGGTTTATCATAGCCTGTGCTGGATAAACCCCGTCCGGCGCTTGTGGATTCGGTATTGATTGATAGAGAAAAAGTAACCGGTCAACCACATCCTCTTTACGTCCTTTCCCTTTTGATTTGTAAAGAGCTCGTTTGAACGTGTCGATAAATCTTTCTGCCTGGCCATTCGACTGTGGGTGAATCGGCGGCGAGCGGATGTTCTGGACGGCGCATTGTTTGCAGAACTCCGTAAACGTTGCCGTAGTGAATTGTGTGCCATTGGCGGTTACACTTGTCTCAGGACAGCCGAATCTGCTAAAAGTTTGGTGCAGTCTTGATACATTGGCATTGGTGATTGTGCTATCCATGAGAAATACTTCAGATCACTTGCTGTATGAGTCGACTATAATGAGGAAACTTCTACCGTTGCTCGGTCCTGCAAAGTCGACATGGATGCGGCACCATGGCTTATTAGCTTTTGGCCAAGAATAGAACTCTGCTTTTTGTGGCTCTTTCAAGACATTGGCTTACTTTTGGCAGCGTGTAGCTGTTTCTTTTAGCTGTTTGTTCATGAAGGACCAGTATACATAACTGCGGGCAAGCGCCTTCATCCAGTTGATGCCCAGCGTGAAACTTCCGAATAAGGCGCTCGTGAAATGCCTTGGGGATGACCACTCTTTCCGAAAATAGTATGCAGTCGTTCACATTAGAGCGCGAGTGTCTCCTCTGAAAGTACTGTTGCAACTCGGCAGATGGACATGAACGCGGCCAACTTGTTTTGTGAACCTGTGTAACTTTCTTGAGTACTGGGTCCCGAAGCTTTTCGGTTCGTATAGCTTCTGTGGTAACTGGTAGACCGTGCAATGCATCACTTACCAGATAGTTGACGTCAGGTTCGATCTCGACTGAGGCAATGTTTGTGTCATCATGTTCTTGCTGATGGGTATCAATTAGACGTGACAGTGCATCCGCTTGGCCAATGGAAATTGTCGACTGGTGGTTGATCTCGAAATCATATCCCATTAAGGTAAGAGCCTAACTTTGTAGCCGGTTGGCTGTATAGGCCGGCATGCCCTTTTTCGCACCAAAGATAGCCAGCAAGGGCTTGTGATCTGTCAGAAGCTTGAAGTGACGGTCGTATCGCATTTTGTAGAATTTCTTGACCGCGTACACTATGGCCAATGCTCCTTTCTCAATCTGACTGTAATTTCTCTCGGTCTTCGTAAGTGTTCTGGCGACACGGGCGATTGCTTTCTGAGATTCATCGGTGTACGTGTGCGCAATTACTGCGCCAATCCCATGGCTTGATGAATCTATGGTTAATACACTCTCTTTGGAGGGATCAAAATGAGTCAGCAGCAAGTTTGAGGACAGCAATGTCTTGAACCCTTCGAAGGTATTCTGGCATTCTGCTGTCCACTTCCAAGTTTGGCCTTTAGCTAGTAGCTTGTTTAACGGAGCACTCAGGCGGCGCATCTCAGGCGAGAATGCGGTGTAGTGGCTAATGAACCCACAAAAGCAACGCATGGACTGTAGATCTGTTGGTGGAAGCATTTTTCTGATGGCTACTACCTTTGTCGAATGTCGTCGAGGTTCATCCTTTTCGAGGACAAAACCGAGGTATTTGATGATCGGCGTGAAAAAGGTGCATTTATCTTCACGGATCCTGAAACCGTACAACTGTATACAACCAAGCACTTCATTCAGGCGGTTAACTAGCTCTTCTGGTGTTCGGCCCATCACTACGATATCATCCAGGTATGCAGCGGCTCCAAAAATGCCCGCTAGCATGGTATCCATCAACTGTTGGAAAATGTCTGGCGCCGTTTTTTCACTAAACGGCAGGCGGCTGTATTGGAATAGCCCACGATGAGTGTTGATCGTTAACAACTCCCTTGAGACTTCGTCAACATCCACTTGAAGGTAGGCGTCGGATAGATCAAGCTTAGCAAAGCACTCACCACCATTCAGTTTTGCAATGATACCTTCCGGTACGGGTAATGGGTACTGGTGGTCGTCCAGCGCGGCATTAAGGCCAGCTGAGAATTCAGCGCAGACGTGTACCTTGCCATTTGCCTTCTTCACTGCAACAATTGGTGCGGCCCATGATGAGTAGTTGACGACTGTGATGACTCCGGCACGTTCCAGTCGCTCAAGTTCTTGATGAACGGTTGACATGGCTGCATATGGTACAGATCTTTTAGCCTTGAACACTGGTTTAGCACCTGGTCGCAAGCTCATCATTGCCTTGAATTTCGTACAATCGTCCAAGCCATCCTGAAAGACGGAGGCAGATTTTCGTTTCAGGGTACGTGTGATGTCTTCGACGGACTTTGATGATGGGTCTGGACTTGCTCGAACTCGATTACAGATCTGATTCAAGGGAACATCCAGGAGTTGCAACTTTTCAATCCCGTTGAGACCAAGCAGATTCAAATCCGGCCGGTCTTCATTGTAGAACGTTCCAAACTTTTCCACACCTTTGAAAGCAATCTTGTAAGTAAGTTCGCCCACTAAGTTTAACACACCGCCAGATGCATTATGTGCAACTTTCTTATACTCGACAATCTTTGGCCTCTTTATTTGATTCCATGGGCTCCTGGACATAATCGTGACGTCCGACGCCGTGTCAAATTACAGTTTCGTTGGGATCCCATTGATCAACACCCTGATAAATCGTCGTCTCGGTTTACACTCACTTTGGAATGCGGAAGCTATGGCCAGAGACTCTGCGCCATCCTCCCTAGAATTCTCCTTTCGATATGATTTCTTCACGTTCTTCGACCGGACCTGGCTGCAGAATTCCTCCTTATGCTCATGCTTGTGGCACGTTTGACAAATATAACTTATGAGTACACGAAAGTGCACGAAATGCCATTCGCCGCAAGACCAGCATACTGTGAGCGGTTTGTTCGTAGACCTCTTGAAGGGCTTGCTTGGGTTGACAGTTCTGGCCTTTTTCGCGAAGTGAACGGTATCTGGTAATGCGAGACCATTCCGTTCGATTATAGCAGTGTCGTGTTTTAGAGTGAGCAGCCATTTGCATTCGCTTACGAGGGCTTTCAGTGTCAGATCAGGATCCTGATCCAGCTTAGTCGAAAACCGCGTGCAGATCTCAGCATCACTGGGGCATTGTGGAGCGCTGACGAAAATGAGACACTTAAACTAATCGTTCGTTAAAGAGCTTAGTTAGAAACGCTCACACTCACGGTTACTCATGTCTGCTAGGGCCCCAAAGTCGTCCGATTCCTGGTTGACAATTTTAAGGCATTGATAGCGAATACTAAACAAGGATACCGACTCACCGAAAATTTCCTTCAGTTGCGACACTACTTCGTCAAACATCAGATCCTTCGGCTGTGTGGGCAGAATTTGGTCTATGAACCTTGCATGTTCACTTACCCCGAGCTTGCGGAGTAGTAATAGCACTTTCCAGAAGTCTTCCTGACGAATGAACTCCGTTGGAAACATGCCTTCTCAGCACTTTAACCACGCTTCCAATGTGCATCAAGAATCCGCATCATAATTGAATTCAGTGATTACATTCGTGTGAAGATCAACAGAACTCGCCTGCATGTCCCGCGCCGCTGCTCCTGTTGTCTGCAAACTCAAGCTTTGTGTCAGATTTTCGGTCATATTCATTTGTGCCTCCATTTGAGATTGCTATTGGAAAAGCGGCGTTTGAAGTTGTTCACCAGCAAAATTCATCACTTTTCCAATTTTCTCCGTCTCCATTTGTTATAATCTTCTCACCCGACGCGATTCCGAAATTGACACTTTACTGCTCCACAAAACTTCTAGCCCAACCGAAGGAAAAAGCAGAACGCCAATGACCTTGACAAAATAACGCATTAATCGCCGTCAACAAACACTGTACAACTATCGCGGACCTTGGCTCTATTTATAAGTCTCTTACTGACCTACGATTTCTAGCATTGGCAGGTCAGCTACCGAGGTTAGTGGTTCCCCATAGCTTTTGGCGAAATGTCAGGTGGTTTTTAATCACGTACAGAAGCTAGAACATTCCGGAACGTTGGAAGTCGATGCGATAATTGTTATTAATAGATTAATCGCTAAATAGTAGCTTTTCTAGGCAAATCTGATATATATATATATATATATATATATATATATATATATATATATATAGTTACAGTGAAAAGAAAACCGAACCCAACACAAATCAATCCCTGGTTTTTTCAGAAGATGCAATACTCCGTGGTTTCCCAAGCCGAAGTAGGGAGTTGAATTACGGGATACCACCCTGAGCCTTTGGCTGAATAGCCAACACGCAACGCATGGGAGCGAGATCAAAGAATCCACCCATTGTTTACCGGCACCAATTTTGCAGTTCATACAACTGTCATTCAGCCGGTTGCCAAACAGTAGCCCAACTCTTCCCATGATTTCAGCACCAGATTGTTGGAATACAATGCTCCATCAGAATGAGGCAAGAATAGTGATACTGTTTGGTAAGTTACATCTGCCACGTCATGATATTGCTGAACGGACCTATGTGGGCTTGTGTAGGGTAAACACTTAGCAAGTGAACCCCCACATCACCTGGAACACTGTCTTCGAACCATTCACTGGAACGGTATAATCCTGAGCCCCCAGCGTGTACCACAAGGAGGTTGTTCGGCAAGTCTGCGAGCAGTATTATGCTTTGTTTCATCTTATACATCGAGATGAGATCGTGTTTGAAGGGAGAGGATAAACAATATGGTGAGTAAAAACGAACTCACAACACTACCGTCACCGAGGTCTGGTCTTCGGCATATCAACCAGTGTCTTCAACCAAACGTCTCCATCATTTTTCTTATTCTAGTTAGGTAGTCAATAAGTTCCTCTTCTTGACCAAGTCATCGCTTTACATCCCCTCCTCTTCTTCCATCTACACCCGCGGGACGCAAACAACGCACGTCGCGGTAGTCGGTGTGCTAACAGGGCGTAACACGTAGCCCAGCCATTGGGGCCTCGTATGTGAAATAGCTGTGTCGAGCTTTACAATTGGTCTCCCTGAAACAAATACGAGACGCCGAACACGCTCATTGCTCACTCGGTGTTCCCACCGGATATGAGCCAAACTGCGAACGCCCATCTATGGAGGAACGTAACCAGACTGTTTATATCTGTCCCTGATCGGCCGGGTTTCGCAACCGTACAGTAAGGTTGAACAGACGGCTGTGGCCCCTACCAAATGGATAGCTGTTCTGAATCTCAGTTGCTCGTATTCCTCTCAGCTACAGGCGGCACGGTTTAGTCCATTCCCATCGACCCACCTTAACTCCCCACTCGGGGCCCGACCATACCTCATTGCGCATTTTCTTAACCCTCTCTTTCTAGGCTCACCTCACTTCGGTGTTACTTTCTCATCACTCAGGTCCAGGCTCCGCAAAACAGCAGTTGAAGTTAGACGCTATTTTTCATTCACGAACTCAGGAAGTGAGTCCAGCGGCGGTTAGAGCTGCCTCCAATGCGCCATGGAGGTGAATTGTGTAATTCCCAGTGGCATACATCTGCCTGTATAATTTTTGGCGATGCGGTTGCTTTAATAGTATTCTTAAGAGCAACTTCATTTAACGATCGTTTGTAATCCCCCGTAGTTTTCAGTAGACATCCGATCAATCTTCTTTGCCTAACCGGTGGCATCTGCTAATCGTAAAAGTGTATGAGCTAATGGAGATCAACGCTATTCATTACACCCGCGTTTTGCTATAATACGTGTGCTCGCAATTTACCTCATTTGCCTATTTGAGCTTGAATACTTGCAGTGTTTTTCTCTCAAGTGGCCGGATTATCAAGGGCTTGATTTGCGCGTAGATTTGCACACGTAACTCCATGCGATCTTAATTATCCAAAGTATGGTACAGCACACAGACTCGACCAAACACCACAGCACGGCTACTTCTAATCGATCGACCAAGAATACGGCTGCTGCACCCTACTGATATTGCGGCATCGCTTGTCTGCAGTCAACGACATCCTTGTGACCCTGTTCCTATGCGGTGGGCCCTTGGGTGCGTTTATTGAGGTTCACTCTCTGTAATGCTTGAGAGTGGATCCTATGGCACTGTTCCTAGTCATCTGATAAGCTCCTCCTTTGGGATCGTTGAGATTAGCTATACTTTTACACATCAACTGCCTTCCTCAGCTTGGCTTGGATGTTGGAATTCAGTTATCATTTGATGGTGTGGCTGCAGATCACTCAAAATCTACTTAAAGGACTAAACCATGTTGCGCTTGTCACGAATGATTCACACTCGTGGTTGAAACCGGTACCTGACATTTCGTGATTGAGATTTCTGTGCCACTTTAGCTTTCCGTTTGATTTCTTCTCTTTTACTTGGGCTCTTGCTGTATTTCTTTTCACGCCATGGTGACGTGTGGTGTAGTAACTCCATTTACTACTTCTCACTGCTCAGCTCATCGTCTTTCTACAAGGATTATCGCTTCTACTGGCTGATCGTCTTCAGTTTTACGTCTCCATCAATACTGGGATCGCGAAAGGCAAAAGTGCCTATCTCTGATATCCCAGTTACATCCTTTTGGTGAACTATCTGCGGTTTATACTGTACCCACCATACTCCTCCTTACTTGCTCCATCGGTTGCCGTCAATACGATCGATGTGTTCAGTACACTTTCCATATTACTGCTCGTATCACAACTCTTTCCTTTGTATCTAATGAGGGCCATAGAAAGTTAATTGACATTGACATGGTTCAACTACAGCGTTCCTTTTCAATATACGGTGATTCTGCTTGTGTGATATTGCATGCGTTTAGGTCACTTGTCCCCCATTCTTCTATAACACCCCTTATCTGCAGACTCCGGTTTCTCAGGAAAAGGTGTCGCGTAGTCTTCTAGAAGAACGTACTGCCCAGCTGTACAACACAGTCCTAACGGATGGTCTCACGTCAGCGTTGGAGCTGTGGAATAGCTGGTACTCCAAGGATGCTCAAGATTTAATCAGAGGGGACACATTTCGCTTCGTGCATCCCACAATGCCAGAGGCCGTGGGTTTATTGCGCACCCGGCTAGCGCTGCATTCTCTGCAGTTACGATGGTCATTTCTTGACAAATCTGGCAACTCAATATCCACTCAAAACGCAGCGGAAATACGTCTCAAAAATACCCAGTTAGTGAAAGATACCCGGTTATGGCTGGACGCGCTGGCCACCTCGCCATGGGGTCATTTGTCTCCAGGTGAGAACATGTAGTGGTTTATTTTTTTCTTATTTACGATTGAATCTGTGCCTTCTAGTTGATTTGTTTTTGTAGTGCTTATCGTGTGGATCGATTGCCACGTACAATTCCAACCGGATCTGTTTTTTACCTCGTAGCGAACTTCAGTCTGTTCGGTCGCTCGAACCGTATCCGAAGCATACAATCGTCACGTGCTGTCGGCTTTCGACTTTGTCTTCCAGGGCTCTTTTTGTGCTCATTTGCCTTCCTAAGGTACATATATAATGGGACTTGGAATCGAATCTTCAGCGTAGAAGGTCGCCAGCTGACGCCTTCGCTAGTGCACCACCGATCTCCGTGGTTAGCGTTTCATCGTTAGCTTGTTTTGGAGCACTACTTATGTAACTATATTGCGTCACGTGGTCTCAAATGGGGCCACGATTCATCACGATCTCGACCAGTCCGTTCACTGGGATCCTATATGAAGCTCAGTGGCGTAAGTACATGAGCGTCATCCGTCAACTCCCATGTCCAGATTTCGATTCTCAGCTCGGCTATCTCTGCGCACAGTGTACGAGCATGCAGAAGTGCGGTCTGAAAGCTTGGAGCTGGGTATGAGCAATACCTGACATTCATTCCCTAGATACATGTAATTCACGAAGTCCATGCTCTGTTTTTACTAAGATTCGTCACGGCTAGACTCAGTCAGATGGCCACCACACATCCAGGAATGCGCTTTCTTGAATGTGTGGTGTGTGTCTGGGTGTGTTTAGCTGCGACGAATCTACCCAATAGGTCCCCTACCGCTCTCTAATAATCAGTCATCGCCTTAGCAGCTTACATGCCACCTCGATTGGTGGCGCATTGCAAAAGGAGTTGCGGCTCTGGCGGCCAGCCCTGTCCTGCGCATGTTCGTAACATGCACGACAGTGGTAGATGAGGCGCGCTGTATCGCAGTTCGATATCAATCGTTTCAGTCCGCCGCCATCATCCATAGCTCAGTGGCATAAGTTGCTGACTCGTGAGAGGAAAGTTATGGGTTTGGATCCGTTAGGATGCGCGCTGCTGACGTATCCCAATAGGACGAAACGGCCTTCCAATAGCGCTTTCCTGGATGTGTGCTAGCTGTGTGGTTGAGTCTAGTTACGACGAATTTTATCCAAGACACAAACCTCCCTACTACTTACTTCTGGCCTGTATACAACCAGAAATGGGATTCTTTGCTGCCACACCTTTCGTTTTTGTGTGCTGTAGGCCAGTTGGTGAATTTGGCTCCTTAATTACCACAGGCCAAACGAGCGGTGTTCCATTTGTGGCTCTAGTCGATGTCTAATATGGTTCTCGCGAAAATCCACCCCACTTCTGAATTTGTGACTACCGCTCATTTTAGCATCTGTATTGTCCGACTGGGGCGTTCTCTGTAAGCGTCCAACCCCCCCCCACAACCGCTGCCTCTTTTCTTTACAAGTATGTGCATTAATATACGTGCAGTCGACTATTTTCAGTTATCATGGTAATCAATTCCCCATTCCAGTTTCCATTGGCGTAATCATTCTATTTTGGTTAACATGACGAGTCTACTGCACACTGAATGACTGAGTCCTTTGGTCTTGAATTTTTAACATCAGCACATCTCCCTACTTTGGTTTTCACTCCTGCTTAAGCCTTTCTTAGTTGCCTTGACTTCCCTGGCTCGATTCACCTTTGCATTATTGTTTAACAATGGTGTTAATTGACTGCGCGCTCACAAAATGGTGTGCTTATCGGAGCGTTACATAGGACACCAGACTTGGAGCATTTGGCCTAGCAATGTGACCTTCGTAGTGATAGAGAGCAGGTTCATCCCGGCTTTACCAGGCTCATTCCGGGTGTACGAGGATTGTCGGACGGAGGCCACTTCGAGAAACTATGACTTTGCACCTTGTCCTATCGTCCGCTACGAGTCGATCTCATCGTGGTCTGCCGCATATTACATCTGGGCCGCTGGGTTCACTTAAGAACGCCATGCAGCGCACGCGGACACCGGTACAGACTTGTAGTGCCGAATATAAATCGAGTTCCTTACCCTCTGTTCTTCGAACGAAGAGTTGTAAATCTTTGGAACTGTCTACCAGAACAAGTCGTGAATGCGAAATTTGTTTGACTTACATTTCTTTGCCATTCGATTCAGAGAACGATTGCACAATGGCGATAACTTCTTACATTTGTGAGTCCAGTGATACTGAAAGCCAGACATTATTGAATGCTACATAAGAGATTGGAGAATACTTAGAGTATCAACAGGCGGCTAATACCTTTTATGACATTTTTGATAATATCCTGCTGAGGTTGTACATATATATGGTTGGCGGCATCCAGTTTTGGATTTGCCTGTCACTATAGGCAGCCACAGGACGCCTGCACCTACAGAGGGACCATGGGTTTCTTGCGCTGCACCACCCACAGCTCCAACCGCACACCCCATATCCAGTGTAAACCCGATGGAATAAGACCGGGAGGCATGTGGATGGGAGCCATGTTTCATCAACGGAACCGGCCCACACTCCTTCACAGGCAACCACAAGCACGCTTCTAATCTGGAAACTCGGCCGGTCAGCTTGCGCAGTAGCAGCAGGTTATCCGTATGATCAGGGGCAACACAACACTCATGATCAGGCGTACTTATACCATGTTGCTTGTGCCCCAATCTCTACGGAACACTAGGTACCCAGGGGAAATACCTTTTTGGTGACTCGATTTTCGCGTGTGAATTAATGTGGTCCGGCTCCGAGTCTTTTGTGGACTCCATCCACATTCCTGACACTCTTATTCCTTCATATTCACATAGGACTTCATGTGCATAAATGATGTGGTGAAGCACAAGTCATCCGTGGTCCCACCGTAGGCGCGCGCGTCTGTTTGTGGTCACAATGCCAGTCAAATCCGGAGATAGTTGGCACCAATCACTTACCTGTGAGCAGTGGCATGTTGCTGATGCAGTTGGGATATACCATCTTTGACTAGACGAATACTATTTGTTTAATTGGCCACTGCCGCCCATTATGTTGTCACCTCGAGGTTTCCCAGTTACTACACCTTGCCCTATACAATTAGTGTTCGTCGCCAACTCTAATGTCCTTTGATGTCACACTGTGTTTTACACGTTGTTACGTGCTTATTTCATCTTATGCGTTTCTCTTTTGCACAGAGTTTTGGCTTCTGTACATAAGATTCGAACGGGACGCAGGCGATTGTACACGTGTTCCTGCGGTGCAGTGGCGGGCAAGCAAAACCCTCTCCCCTAATGCTTATGCTCGGTTCACTGTGTTACTGAACGGCGAGACAATTTGAGTGTGTGAACCTTATCCCTCACTGTTATCCCGGAGTAGTCGTTGATGAATCATTATAATCTGCATCATCTTTTGAAACACTACTCGACTTCTTACATTTTGTATAGATTGAACAGTATTGAGTGACTTATTGTTGGAGTGCACCCCACCCGCTTGTAATTTCACAATCGCGGGGCACTGCTGGAACATTATTTGTGGGTGGAGTTTAAATGGGCAGTAGGTGACTACTTCACACGAATGTCTCCACTCACCGAGCATCGCTACCAGTGTTGTTGTTGTGATTTGACGAACGCCACTTTGTACTTAACCATACCATTCAGTCACTGCATACTCGGGTCTTGGAATGGTGCGTGAGGTGTCATTCACTTACGGGTTTTTTTAACCGTGCTCCTTCCTCTCCATCGCTTCTTCTTTGTATGTTTATCCCTATTACACAATATGTGTATTTCAATTGCCTTTCAACCCATATGTTATACTACCAATTGTCAACACTATCCTCGTCAGCAGTATCTCAGTAGTTTATGCTGACATGCTGCTACCAAGCTGTCATAATGTCCTTACGAATGTTGAATGGTCAAAGAGAAAGAGGATATCGCAAGCTCTTCCATTTGATCCGCATCACTGGTCCCAAGAAACCAGGTGTCAATGAAACAATCAGACAGCGCGCGCATCCTGATTCACAATAAGGAGCGCCGTATGGCTCGTTGGGCGGAGTACTTTCGCGAGCAGTTGTTGTCCCTGTGCTTTTGGATCTCTTCCTGCTCAGATGTTACAGACTGTATTATGGCCAGTTAATTTAGAAACTCCGTCGGAGGCAGAGGTCTGAAGCGCGATCGCAGCCCTTAATCGTTTTCGTGCTGCTACCCCGGATTAGTTCGCACTCGTACTATTTATGGGTGATGGTGAGATTCTCTGCAAAGTACTGACCTTTCTATTCGTTCAGGTCTGGAAGGCAGAGACCATCCCAGCTAACTGGAATGAATCAATTACAGTGGCGATATACAAGAACGGCAGTCGCACCGACTGTACTAATTACAGCAAGCCTAACGCCGATGTTGACAAAATTGCTCTCATCAATGCTTGTTCGTCGCTTCACTGTGGGACAAGAATCCCGGATTAGGGAAGAGCAGACAGGCTTCCACCTAGGCCATGGCTGTATACATCATGTATTCAATCTGCGGCACGTGCCAGAGCAGCGCCACACGTACCACAGGCTGACAGTGGCTGTGTTCCTGAAATTCATGTGTGCGTTCGATTTAGTCGATTGATCCATTCTGTTCAAGATGCTTGTGCGGAAAGGTGTTTCGATGAAATATGTGAACATTTTACTTGTCCCGTCCTTGAACATCGCAGGCCGTGTCATGGTCCACGGTGAGTTGTCAGTTGCCTTTCCGACAACAAGTGCCGTTCCTCAGGGTCGTCCGACTTCCCCATTTTTGTCTAGCTTCGTCGTGGACTGTATCATTGAGTGTTCCTTTGCAGAGCCTCACGATGTAGGCGTTGAGGTGCTGCCTGGTGCGAAGCTAGTTGATCTTGTTTATGCAGACGATATTGTCCTTTTTAACGATGTTAAGGCGACAATATACCCATCATTTGGCATGCGCTTCGCACCTTCAAAGTGCAAAGTGTTGTTACAGTACCACTAACCACTTGATAGCCCCCTGACGCTTAATAGTGAGGAAGTTGAGGTGGTTGTTAAATTCATTTACATTGGCAGCTGTACCGGCAACTGAAGGCAGTCTACATATTGCAAAAGCTAGAACTGGTTTTTGAATCTGTTGTGTCGGAAATGGGCTTCCCTCTGTCTGAAAGGCCTGTTTATACAAGACCAACGTGAGGGTCATTCCACTCTATGGAAGTGAGACTTGGCCCCTCCGTTCTGAGGACCTGCGGCGCCTTCATGTCCTTGATCATCGTTGTCTGCGGAGCATTGCTGGTGTCGGATGACACCAGCTTGTTCGCAACGATGATGTATGTACGTGAGTGCTAGGCAGTGATAATCATGCCAGTTCCCTAAAACGACAGTTGCGTTGGCTTGGGCATTTACTACGTATGCCCGGTCACCGGTTACGGAGGATGGCCTTGTTTATTTACTAGATGTAGGGTGGTACAAGGCCTGAGCTGGGCAAAATTAACTTGGCAGCGGGAAATGAGGGCACTGACTACGAAACTTAGTGCTGTTGGATCCTCTCGCCTTTCAGGCTGCAGTCCACGTGACTCACTTTGTGCTCGGTTCGAGACGTTACGTGGCTCGCAGTCTACACCACTGACGTATCTTCTGTCGTCTCCTAGTCGGACTGCCTGTTCAAAGTGTGTTTGGTGCTGAGTTATCTGCGCGTAAATGGTGCATTATAACGCAGAACAGTGAAAGCCGCAAGAAAACTGTCTCGCCGATGACGTCTTACCTTTGCAGGATGGCCAGCTGTTTTTGACGGTATGACGTTTGTGATGGGGCTGACAGTTGGGACTAATCGAATCGCCTGCCACAGTGTGGTCGATCAGGCGATCGATCGAGTGGGCAGGTGAGTTTTAAAATCACAGTTAGTTGTACTTTGCCTGAGACTTTTGAGTACAGCGCTTGTGTGCATAGCCGGTGTGCTTTATTTCTCTTGACGCGGTTGGCAGAACCAGGCACGCAACATGGTGACAGAGAAGTAGAAGCTGACGCGCCGAAGCCTGCTCGCTTTTGGCGGACAGCCGTCGATCCCGCTGCCGACTGCTCAACAGATGGCGGAAAGCCCGCTGCATGACGACTGGTAAATGTAAAAGACGAAGCGGACGGATTTCGTCACGCTGACTCAGTTGGACTCCTATCCGAAGCCTTACCAACTTGCTATGTTCAGACTCGCAATTGGCGACGAAGCCAAACGGGTACTTGAGATTCTGGATTGCGGTGATGCGGAGGAGCAGGAACCTGACATTTCGGAGATAATCCAGAGATTTGGAGGTTATTGCGAAGGTCAAGCAATGAGACGTATCAAAGATATCTGTTTTTGGGTCACAATCGCTTACCGGATGAGTCAGTCGAGACTTTCATTATAGAATTGAAAACTCTGACGCGAACGTGCATTTTCTGTAACTGTATGCGGGACTCTGGTACGCGACCGCATCGTAATCGGCATAGGAAATGATGACCTCACTTGACGCCTTCTGAGGCAGAAAAACCTGTCCCTAAATCAGTGTGGATATTTGCCTTAGCGAAACAACAACGTCACGACAGTTCCAGAATTTGCGGGCGTGAACGACAGATGGACTTTGTACAATATCGAAGACCAAGGAAGCCCTATCTTCGCCATCCGAGTGGCAGGAGGCCAGCTGTCATTTTTTGTGGTTGGAAGCATTCAAGACGAAAGGAGAGTTGTCCAGCTTAGGGCAAGACCTGGATGAAGTGTACAAAGAAAAACCCTTTCGCTTGTTGTTGTAGATCGGCCAACATCAGTGCGGTAGACAAGAAAGTCAGTACGACACACAGGAGCTCTCAATAAACAACGTGGAGCATTTTGGAGGGTGGAATTGCATTTTTCCTATACTGTTGATTCAAGGACGTCCAATTCGCTTTCAGCTCGATTCCGGAGCCACCGTCAACATACTGCCCGAGAGATATTATGCGAAAATGTACTGAAGCACGCAGTTGTCTCAAAATGTGGAACAGCTCGAGATTACAACCGAAAGGAAACGCTGTCGTGACCACTGTCAACCCTAAGGACAGAACGGAACGCCAGCTTGAGTTCTTGGTTGTGTCAGCAGATCTTATGTCTATCTTTGGCATTGATTCCATCCAGCGCCTTGGTTTGTTTCATTTAACCATAATCGTTTTGTTTACTCGTGTCAGGCTGATACAGATATTGTTGATTTGTATCCTGCCGTGTTCGATGGGGTTATTGGGAAATTCGATGGATGCGCTCATTTATCATTAAACGAATCTGCTAGGTCAGTAGCACTGCCAGCTAGAAAGGTGCCCATAGGACTGCACGAAGACTATTAGAAGAAGTGAAGCGTTTGTTCAGTTTGGACATCGTAGTTACGATCAATGATCCGACAGATTGCGTAGGCCAAATGGCAAACGTCACTAAGACATCCGGTGATTTGCGTGTGTGTATCGACCCTAAACTACTCAATGCGTTGCTCAGACGAGAGTACTATGCCCTTCCGACAATTGACGACATGCTACCAGAGTTATCAAAGGCAAAAATGTTCACGAAAATCGACCTCGCTTCAGGCTTCTGACACGTAGCACTTGACGAATAGTCTAGCTATTTGACTACATTTGGAACGACTTTTGGACATTTTAGATGGCTTCGTTTGTCCTTCGGTTTGAAGGTATCCAGTGTGATATTTCAGAAGCGGCTGCTGCAAGCATTGGACAATCTACCCGGAGTCTTTTGTGTAGTTTTTGGTGCTACTCGTCACCTTCACCAGTTTTTACAACGCTGTAGTGAAAGAAATATCAAACTAAAGCACGAGAAAGTCGAGCCAAGCAAAACGGAAGTGGCATTTCATGGGCACGTGCTGAGTTCAACTGGGTTGAAACCTGATCCAGAAAAAATCAGAGACATAAACGAGATGTGTCCCCTCACATATGCAAAGGCGTTTAGCAGGCTAAACGGAATGGTCAACTACTTGAGCCGTTTCCTTCCACGACTGACCGATGTGATGATACCGATTCGGAAGTTGACCCATAAGGAGGAAGCTTGACACTATGGCTCTGAATAAGAAAATGCCTTTAGGATGATCAAGGAATTAATTACAAAAGCGCCTGTCCTTGCCCACTTTGATCCGTCGCTTCCACTCGAGATTCAGTGTGATAGTAGCAAATGCGACATTGGAGCTGTGCTTACGCAAAGCGATAAGCCTGTCGAGTTTCGCAGTCGCACGCTCACAGAGGCCGAGCGTCTTTACGCACAAATTGAAAAGGAAATGCTGGCGCTGGTTTACGCCGTAGAACACTTCAACGATTATACGTTCGGCCGCGAAACAACTGTCTTCACTGACCACAAGCCACTTGTATCCATCGCTAGTAAGCCGCTCAATATCGCTCCACGACGCCTGCAAATGATGCTCATTCGTCTGCAGAAATATGATTTGGATATAGTCTAACGACCAGGATCCCAGATGCACTTTGCGGACACGTTGTCAAGGGCTCACCTGTCAGACACACCGAAAATGGAAGAAGACCCGAATTTTGTCCAAGCAACGCAGCTGATCGCGGTCACTAAGGAACGTTTGCAGTAGCTCCAACGGTGCACGGAGGAGGACGAACAGCGCAGGCTACTGAGGCAGACGATAATAGACGGATGGCCCGAAAAAAAGAACAAATTGCCCTAAGTGTTAACTCCGTTCTTTCATTTTCGCGACGAACTCATCACCCAAGACGGATTAATATTCAAGGGCAACAGGATAGTGGTTCCGAAGGCATTGCAACCTTCAATGCTGCAGATGGTACACTATGCACATTTGGGAATCAACAATTGCATGGCAGAGTACTTGAGTTGATGTTCCGGCCAGGAATGATTAATCAAATACGTGATTACGTATCAAACTGTTTAACATGCAGGACACACGATGTGCGCCAGCCGAAGGAGCCAATGATGCTTCATAACGTTCCGGATATTCCCTGACAGATGGTCGCATTGGACATTTTTGTTTGCGTTTGGAAGAGCTATTTGATTGTGGTCGACTATTTCAGTGACTACTTCGAGATTGATGCCCTTAGGTCAACCTGCGCGCAAGTCGTAGTGAACAAGTTACGGTGTCGATTCGCTCGACATGGAATCCCCGAGGTGGTAATTTCCGACAACAGGCCGCAATTCAGTAGTGCAGAATTCCGCGCTTTTAGCAAGAAGTGGGATTTTCAGCATCTGCTCATCAGCCCATACCACAGCGAATCAAATGGGAAGACTGAGTTAGCAGTGAAGGAGGCGAATAAAGTACTTACCAAAGCCAAGGAGACCCACGAGGATCCCTATATAATGCTGTTAAAGCGAAGAAACACGCCATCTACCGAGATCGGAGTAAGTCCAGTTCAGCGGTTATTCAGCTGCAGAACAGGAACGCTGCTACCGGCCGCTACAATGCTGCTACAGCCCGAGATAGCACCGGACGCTTCTGTGCACAACCGACTACGGAAGAGAATGCTAAAACAAAAGAAGTACTATGATCGTGGATCGAGATGCCTCCCACCCTTAGCTGTAGGAGAAGAAGTATGGGTGCAACCAATACCAGATTCGGGAGAACGTTGATGGAGGAGAGGGAATGAGGGTCACATGTATGAAAGGAGCTACGAAGTCAGGATAGGGAGCAACATCATTAGACGGAATCGGGTGCAAATTAGGAGGGCACGTAATGGACGGACTCCGCAAAGCGAGGATCGGCAGCAGCAACAAGAAAGGGTACCTGAAACCTCAGCCCGAGACAGCAAGCGTACGCGCAGCGGAAAACCGTATGGAACTTGTTGCAACAACATATTTAAAAAAGAAAGGATGTGATGGCGCTGACAGTTGGGGCAAATGGAATCGTCTGCCACATTGCGGTCGATCAGGCGATCGATCGAGTGGGCAGGTGAGTTTTTGAAACCACAGTTGTACTTTGCCTGAGACTTGTAAATAAAGCTTTTGTGTGTGTTTTCTTTCTCTTGACGCGGTTGGCAGAACCAGGCACACAACGGTGTTGACACAGGATGTGAGCGCCTTGACCCTAAGCTTTTGCTTATGCACTAAGGTTTTACGCCAGGTCCCCCTTATCTCCCTCTTATTATTCTTCATTCCATAATTCAATATGGTTGTATGGCAGCGAAGCCTTAGTCCACTTGGCTGATGTACTGCTGTTTTTGCTAGTGATATACGACGCTAGATCTGTCAAAAATCGAAGTCCTCCTCGGTGTAAGCGATGCCCAATCCTGCGTGGCACGCACCGAGCCAGCGTTACTTGTCCTTACATGTTCATCTAACTAACTGGCTTGGCCACCGCTGTTTAGTATTCATCCACTTACGCATCGTTGCGGACACGCTGGCACCATATTATCCGCTCGATGATTATCAGGCGACAGTCAAAACTTGGTGCTTCGTTTACTCAGACCGAATGGGTCAGGTCTCGCTCCCGTAGAAGTGAGCGCAGCTTTTTCGACTGAGGGAGATTCGATTCCATCGCCACAGCGTTCGCGTTTTCAAGCAAGTAGTTCCAGCTTTCGCAATGTAGTCAAGTTCACATCACATCTAATGCAGCTGCCGGGACGGGTAAATAGATCAACTGTCTCTGGTTCATCGTCACTGAGAGTCAGAGGGCCACCAGGTACTTGGTGGTCCTACTGTGCTTTTTCAGTTAGGAGGTGTAGAGTGCAGCCAGTCTGTTCTACACATTTCATTTAAGGTTGTCCGTACATTGCAGCTGTTAAACAGCAAGACGATATCGTCACTATTATCTAAATCACACTCACCCCATTCAGACTGCATCACAATAACTCTAAGCAGAACACTGCACCATTGGGTCCACAAAAGAATTGGAACAATATGTGATGGCGCATACTATGAGAACGACCATGCCGTTCCAGGTATGTATATCGACAGGGATGAGGTGATCAACAAAGTTTAAGGTTTGCGAGACTCCGCGAATCAGAACTAAAGAGGTTGTCTAGTTTGGTAACGAAACGTTCGCAGTAGAAATGCCCGGCTCGGAGAACAGGACAGCCCTCTCATCCACACCCCAAGCTACAGATATTCTCAATAGTTTCCGAATTCTAAAGCGCCCTCGTAATCAGCCGTACATAGTTTTGGTTGCTCCAATGCCTACTGTAAATGTATAGTCCGAACACTCTTGCCGGTCTTAAACTTACCCATTCTTTCATTCAAGTTTCGCGTTCCGCAATCTGTTGGCGGATGCGAATTGAGGTGTTGAGTTGATACCACTGATTAACGTAAGTCACTACTATCATCGTTATGCATTACCGTTATGATCGATTTACTCCACTTAGGCGAGAAAGTCGCTTTTCATACATATTCGAATGTCCTGATGATTTCCTCACCGCCGTCTCTAGCGCCGATGCCACGAGCGATTTCGGGTGGCAACTCCGAAACCGTTAGGAGCTATGTTCGGTTTTCGTAATAAATTTACTCTTCTTTGGATGCGATAGTTTAGCCGCGAAGTTGCGCGTGACGCTTTAGCACGATTCCTGATCAGCGCACGGATTCGGATAACACACTGTGTCCGCAAAACCAGGCAAAGCGATGCACGCTCGCCCGAGAGACTAGGCGCGCTTACGAAGCATTATCACGTGACACACGCAACTCCCAACCAGCACACAGGCGAAAAGGCAGAAGGCCATTGAGTGAACCATTGAGTGTTCCTGTACAACCCACAAAGGCCGAATACAGTTGGCACAACGGTTCAATTTGCGGAAGAGTAGTCATCACGTCGGACGCGTGATTTACCAAAGACTGTAGTCCATTTTGACTTCGCTGTGCACTGCTTGAATAATAAAAATAATGTCAGCTGTACGCTGTAACGACGTTTCGCTGCCGTGCGACCACCACCAGTCGCACGCGGGCTGAGTATACCGCGAGGACGCCCACCCCTACGCGGATTCAAACCCGCGCCGCGAGATTACGAGACAAGCTCGTTTACTCTAGGCTACGGTCCGACTGCACTGCCTTGGACTGGCTTGAAGCTGCTGCGCTGTGGGTTGAAAATGGACTCCAGGTATTGGAGTTCGCAGCGCAGTTGCGTATTTTTGCGGGATCACTTGACGTCTTCGCAACAGTATAAACTTCTGTCTCGGATGAAGCCTCTAAAGTAAGTGCGTATGGTTGAGAAGGAACCACTCCGGCACCGAGTGTCCCAAGTGAAAGGAGTCAAGTAAACTGCCTCTGAAAGTGCTCTACTCTATTCCCCATACGGCATTCCTTGTTATGAATCGGAGCACGACTATTTTCTCCGATTATCCTTCTGACACGATTTCATAGCAGGGTCTACGAAACCTGTCAACCACTCCTGCCTCTTCCATTTTCTAATCCTCTGGGTCTATCAGGTTTCGTTTTCTCTTCAGGAACACTCCTGAATTGCAGCAAATTTACTGGTCTTTCGGATATTCAGTGCTAGATGCGCTCTGAAAATGCTCTCGTGCCATACGTAGCAAAGGAAATCCGATCCCACCGAAACGATGTCCACAGCGCGATTCGATGAATACATTAGTAAGGGAGTATTGGTATGCTTTACTAATCTTTGATCGCGGCTGGCACACGGTTACCAATTAAGGGACCGTTTGGTGCGTTTCTCGGGCTGCGCTCGAAGAAAATCGACAATGCATCGAGTTTTGATGCGAGTCTAAATACAAGTGACCAATGTAGTCTATTGGGTATCTTTCTTCTTTGCTTCCAGAGGATGTCAAACTGTGCATTAAATTCCATAGTATCTGAGGGCGGTGTTGTCTACTTGGAGCCTACTATCAGTGCTCACTTCAGCTGAAGTTTCGTCGTCCTTCCATTCAGGTCAAACTTTCCAACTTACTTGAGCTTCTGAGTAGGTTAGACTGCCAGGTTACAAATCTGCATCGCCAGCAACGTAAGACTAACTTGGTTGTACTATGTCGTAGAATACCAATCACGTGGTAAAATGTTTTTTGGGAGCATCAGGGCTGCAGCTAGTTCACAGACGAGCAGTTCCCACAAAAAACAGCGTCTACGTTGCATCGCATATCAGCCTTAATCAGCGTTAAACGGGCTGCACATGGACGGCTGTTCACAGGAGTTAATCAATTAGCAGTGATTCAGCTCCACCTGGGAACCATTCCTTTTCCACTTTGACTCAGTTGCGGCATCGGTATACCAGAATACGCTCAGCCAATAGCTGAATGATGAGTTGAGAACACTAGTTCGGTAGCATCGTTTGAGTTGTGAATCCTCGCTTCGGAAGCACAGCACGCTTCAGTAGGGATGATACCCATTTTACATACAAAGACAGTCTGTTGACCTATCTGCCTGAGTTCTAAATTTGAACGCTACCAAAGAAACTGGCAACTGTGGCATTTTGATGCGCATTTGCTGATTGTCAGCCGGTGGCCGAGTGGTCTGCGCGTTTGGTTTGCAACCGTAAGGTCACCCGTTCGAATCCGCCTAAGGGTGGGCGTCCTTGCGGTATACTCAGTCCGCGCGTGACTGGTGGTGGTCGCGCGGCAGCGGAACGCCGTTACGGCGTACGGCTGACACGTTTTTTATTTGCTGATTGGATAGGTTAAGAATCCGTTCCTCTTTGATCACCGGCACGGTTGTTATGCATCCGGTCCCAATGGCTTACGCCACCCGTGGTATTAGTGGAGAAATACCATTTAGCGAAATATCAGTACGAACGAAATAAATAAATAAGATGGCTGTTGTATATCCGGAGCAAACAACGTGTACATAAGTCAAGAAAGATAGGTACACTTCAAACGTAGGATGGCACTGCTCTTGCTCCTCTATCTCGTCGGACAACGCGTCTAACCGCTTGGTTGATTTCGTAGGCCCCATCTGGGAAGTGGTAGACCATTCCGCCAATACCTCCAGTTTCGTTGCTATCACATCAGTTGCTCACGTTGTTTCACACAACCAGACATACAGTTTGAAGCTATGCATTACAGCGTACACGGTCAATTCGCACAAGGAGAACTTGGCTAAGAAATCGTAGACGGTTTAGGTTCAAACAATGTTCAAATACTGCAATTAAGGTTTTTTTGGTTAAACGCTATCCGGTGGCCACACCTACATGACTTGCTCGGCACTTCTTCCAGATTTATAACGCGACAAAGGCACCATTGACTCAAGACCGCCATACCGTCGAAGTCTTCAATCCTTGGTGATTGAGATTTTAATCCACAGGTTAGCATTGGCGTGTTGCAGCACGTACCAGCTGCATTTGACTAACAAGCTGATGTCGGCTGCTTTCAGAGACGTCTGAGGTAGTATTAAACCGCGCTGACCTCATCAATATATGAAGTGAGCTCTATGAGTTGACAACTAAAGAAGCCTGCAGGAAACAACTGATCAACCATACCAATTGATTCTTCGTTAGTTTTCGCAACCGTCAATAGCTTGGTGATGCGTGGCATATGCCAAATCGCATAGTGTTTTGCGCCAGTGTATGCTGAAGCGCTGATACAGTAGATGGTTCTAGCCCTAAGATAGCTACATCTTCAAGCACAATGATCAAACACAGACCAGATGTATGCCACAGTGATTTACCATTGTTTTATCATGAACTTAGAGAGAAAGGGTGGTGCAAAGCAGTTACCGTAGAGAACTCAGGGGAAATCTTTCGGTTTGTCACCAGACAACCCCAGGAATCTTTGTAGAAGAAGGTTCTCAAACAAACGGATAGCTACCTCACAAATTAGACAGCGCCGCGAACAAGTAAATCAGGCGACCTTCAAATTATTTGAAACTTGAGTGCGTCGCCTTTTTAGGTGCCGTTGTTCCACAACCGCATGCAACGCAAACATGTTCGTTGCATCTCCAGCCTGAACGCAGTTCTACTCGGCTTTTACTGTAGTGTCAAGGACAAAACACCGTCCACGATATGTGCTGGCCGATTGTTTTCAAGCATTTCAGTGAGCACTGGCTCGGTGATTTTATCGATGACATACGATGCGGTTCCGAATCATCTATCTCTCAATCTCTGATTATTCCTGTGTGGAGTATCGAGTGATCTGCATTTTATTAGCATTACTGTTCTTGTACTTTCTAATTTATTTTCTTTTATATTCTTCCTTATTTCATTGTTAGCCACGACTGGCCGGATTTGAGGCGGCTGATTGAAGCTTCCAAGCTAAAATTTATACTCATGCAAAGCGTTTTTCCACTAACTCACTGGCGTTAATAAAAAAAGTGCCATGCTCGAAAGAGCCATATCATATAACAGGCTGGCGGCTTCATCGACCACAACATATGCAACTAATAACTGTGCTAACGATGAGTTAAAGAGGTGATGGTTTACTCCCTATTATGCCACAGCTTCACATAGCCAAGTGGGGCGTGGAGGTACGCGCGAAACCTGCATGGAAGCAGGTCCCCTGGGAACAGTTCCACTGATGGCCGTATTCAACATCTGGCTATATCTGCATTTGTTATTTTTCGCAATTTTCTTGCTCTTTCTGGTACATGCAACTTACCACTCACTCCAAAAGTCGGAACAATTACCTGATTTATGCGATCCCGCTGCACATATTGATCATGCTCTTCAGTTGAACTGTCTCACACTGTCGAGGAGTATACCGTATGTTTATTTATTTTTAACTGGATACTATTTTTTATTCCTCATGCTCTAAGTCGCGTACTCCTATCGTTACGCCATATTGACAGTGCAGTTCATAACTTAGACCAAACATGCAGGGCGCACCCCCTGAGCCAGCGTAACTTACTGAACAATCAGTAGTTGTGCCAGCGAGCTTTATGAAGGCTTTCAAAGCGCTTTAGTAAATTCACAGGTTGCAAACCTTCCTTATTTCACGCTAGACTAGATAGTTGCCAATCGGTGACTATGCTGCCCCAGTGGAACATGCCGAGCACTGGTACTTCCATGACTTGTTGGGCTGGAAAGTTACTCTATGCGGTCAATTACCCGTTCAGCTCTTGGTCAATCTTAAGGGAACCGTGTGATAGCTACAGAATTTGCATGAAGCACAAGAGAATTGCGGCTTATCTATAGCCTAGTGAGTACCTCTCGCCTCTTGCATCCTGGGTCTCGTATACTGTCAACGTCCTTGTTCACTGAGCCTAACTTACAGTGGCAAGGTTGTTCGATTTGTTCATAGAATGCATACAGGCTAACCGATCGCCCCTGGGACGCAACACTCCGATAGAGTTATTCCATGACTGATATTTAGACTAACCTGCATCCATACTGAAACAGATAGTTAAACCTGGTGTATTTGGGAAAACACTGGTGTCTTGTGCTTGCTCCTTACCTTTTAACCCGATCCTCTTACCCACCTAATACTTTTACAACGTCCAGCTTATTCATTTGTGTGGAATCATTTTCCAACCTCCCGTCATTGATATGATGACGAGACGAATGGTTCACCAAATGGCTCAGCAACCGAGCTGATCGATTGGTCAAGGTGTTTTGCCGATGGACCCCGACTTTTCTTTCATTGTAGAAGACAAAATGAAGACAAAACTCTTTATGAGTTACGGTAGGATTTGTGATCAGCACTAAAACTCACTCACTGTTCGCCTCAAATGTGATCTGACCGAGTCAGTATGGTATCACATTCACATTCGGTTCACGGACTGCAGTGGACAACATGAACGGTTCGCACACATACACATTCAACCACACTTAGGGGTGGCATTGGTCGATAGCATCAAAAATCTGCACGCTGATTTCACATGTCAGCGTGTTCTTATTCACTTTCAAAAGCATTATTCTCGAAGCTGCTTGTTGCCCGCTTGTGAATTTCACTCGATCCCTCACCATTTGCGGGGTCTTTTTGAGATACAGGTTCTGTTGGCTTCTCGACCGCCCTCGATGCTCTCAGCACAGCCAATGCTGTTTCTTCTTCTTCCCGAAGATCTGACTCTTGATCTGCACCATGGGTTCCCTTGTCTCGGCCACACAATGTGAAATACTGCAGCATGTGTCTGAACTTGGCAAGCATTTCGTATTGTAACAGATTCAAACACATCGATAGGAGTGCTAGACCGAAGAGCATGTAAAACGCGCCGATTGCGAGCTCGTAAGTTGTTCGAGTCTGAGGGGGGAGGCAATTGTTAAGCATATTAGGCTATCAGATAACGGTGTGAGTGAATGGCACGACGTTTTAGTTACACAGGAGCAATAGCTAAGCAGTTCGACATATTCCGTTTCACCTTTTTCCGTTTTTGTTAATCAAATGCACGCAAATCGTGGCTACCTTCACTCAACTTTCAACGTTTGATTCGGGAAGAGCAACACCAAAATGCCTCCAATTCTCTCAACTTTTCTTTTGGCAAGTGTTGCTCTCCCAAAGTATCTAGCCCCAGTATTTGTTGCTTACAATGAGTAAGCCTGACTCTACTCCAACGACGCTGTTCCCAGCTTAGTTGAAAGGCTGTCACTGATAACGTTCATTTTTAACATGTGAGGCAACACAATGGTTGTCGTAGTGTTTCAGTCGTGAAAAGCATCACGGTTTCTTGGACAGATTACTGCTCTGTTTCATTATATGATCATTACACACGCTAGTTGCAAGTGGAAAACACAGCTATTGTGCCGCAATACAACAGAAAAGAAACAAAGTGAAACAGAGGCACGCCGGCTGAGTCACCAGTAACGGATGCACATCTTTCCGGATAGCTAACAGCCGGCTATTTTGCCACAAAACCCATATAATGCCTATTAATTGGGATCTTTGTTGGAGGGGGAGGCTAAGCGGAGGTGGATGGACAAAGGAACTCACAACAAAACGCCATTGATATCTGCTGTTAGCCATGTCAAAAAGTGTATTCAGCCAAACCTGTTCATCGTCCTTCGGTCTCCAACCAGGGAGCCGAGAGGCTCCAACCGAGGCCAATCTCGAACTACGGACCTTCATCCCTCTCGGTCAAGTCATCGCTTGGCCACCTCTCCTCTTCTTCCATCCGCACCCCCGGTGCGTAAACAACACATGTCCCAGGAGTTGGTGGGTTGGCATGCGCAACACGTCTCCCAGCCATCGGAGCCTGGTGCGTGAAATAACGGTGCTGAGCGGTTCATTTCCTTTTCCTGTGCCGTAAACACGGAGTCGAAAACGCTCGTTGCTCACACGGTGTTCCCACCAGTTGTGAGTCAAACTGCGAAAGCACCGGTGTTCGAACATAACTAGCACCTTTATGTCGGCGGATCTAATGGGCCAGGTTTCACAACCGTTCAGTAGGGTCGAACGTATTGCTGTATTGTTCACTCTACCTTTCAAGGGGAGAGTGATGTCGCGCCGGCGCCATAGGTGGCGAAGGTTGGCAAAAGTGCCTCGTGCTTTTGCTATACGGTTCGTGACTTCATCTTCAATTTCAACGGCACTGATACAGCTACCTAGGTAGTTGAATTTTTGAACGACTTCTAGCAGATCCCCACCAAGAGTCAGCGTAGGAGGTGGTCCCTGCCAATCTTGGAGGAACGCTTTGCACTTTGAGGGTGCGAAGCAACGCCCGAAGTGATGGACAGCTAGTGCTAATCTGTCCAGTGCCGCTTGGCACGTTTGATAGCTGTCACAGATGAGGGCAACATCGTCAGTATATTCCAAGTCAAGAAATCGTTCACATCGGAGCTGTTCTGTTTAGAATGCCCCATGCCGTTTAGACTCGCTTTTAAACTTTCGTTTTGGTAGCACATGGACAAGCTAAAAATATGGGCAATTTTCTGAAATATACGATGTTGTGCAATGGTAAATTGTTTAAATGGTAACCTTTCACCTGGTACCACCTTAAGTGTACGAGGAAACTGGAGTTTAACCACTGGATTTTAACCACATATCTGTGTAAGTTCCTACGTTGATTTTGGCAGTACTAAGGTTACATACCCAAGTGTCCCGTTCGAAGAAACTAGTGTAGGTAGACAGATTGAGACTTCATATGTAGGTACGAAGCTCTCACAAATCAGTCATTATGTCATTATACATGTTAGCTGCAGGTGGAAAACACAGCTATTGTCACACAATACAAGAGACAAAAAAAGGAAAAAAGTGACACTTCGGCTGAGTCCCCCCTAACGGATGAACATCGTTCCGGAGAGCTAACAGCTGGCTATCATGCCGTAAAATGAGTTATATTATGTCTAACGAGTGAGATCCTGATTGGAGGGGATGCTAAGCAGGAGGAGGGGTGGACAAAACAAATCACAACACAAACGCCATTGTGGCCGGCTCCGAGCCATATCAGCAAGTGCGTCCAACCAAACGTATTCACCGTCCTTAGGACCCCAGCCAGGCAGTCGGGATGCACCAACCGACGCCAACTTCGAAGTGAGGGTTTTCATCTCTCTCGACCAAGTCATCGCTTGGCCTCCTCTACTCCGGTTCCAACCGCACTCATAATGCGCAAACAATGCAAGTCACGGAAGTCGGTGTGCTGGCATGCACAACACGTCGCCCAACCATCAGAGCCTGGTGCGTGATATAATGGTGCTGAACGGTTCACTCGCTCTTCCTGCACCAAATACGCGACGCCGAACACACTCATTGCTCACGCGGTGCTCCCACTAGACAAGAGCTAAGCTGCGAAGGCAGCGATGATCGAATGTGACGAACCTCTTTATGTCTGTCGACCTGATGGGCCAGGTTTTACAACCATATAGGAGAGTTGAACGGACGGCTGCGTTATAAATTCTACCCTTCAGGGCGAGAGTAATGGCGCGTCTGCGCCACAGGCGGCGGAGATTGACAAAAACGCCTCGAGCTTTTGCTGTACGGTTCGTAACCTCATCTTCAATCCCACAAGTGCTAATATAGCTGTCCAGGTACTTGAATTCCTGGATGACTTCTAGCAGATCACTACCATGCGTTAGCGCAGGGTTGGGTCCCTGCCACTCTTGGACAAGTACTTTGCATTTCGATGGAGCAAAGCAAAGCCCAAAACGATTGACAACCAGTGCTAATCGGTCCAGTGCTACTTGGCATGTTTGGGAGCTGTCATAGATTAGGGCATTGTCGTCCGCGTACTCCAACTCCAAAAGTCGCTCACCAGGAAGTAGTTCCACACCTAGGTCGTCTTCAGCGAACGTTGTTTCCATGACTTCATCAATAGCGAAGTTAAAGAGGAAAGGTGACAGCGGAAAACCTTGTCTCACACCGCTGGTGATACTGAAGGTTGGCGACAGTTTGCCATAAACCCTCACTCTGCCCGAACTAGGTGGCTACAGCGGTTTGATAATGTTTACATATTTATCAGGCACACCTTTCCTCAGCAGACAGTCCCAATGGGCACGTCGATCGACTGAGTCGAAGGCACCTTTTATGTCAAGAAACACGACAACGGTGGGTCGCCAATAAACATGGCGGTGCTCAAGCAATTGACGCAAGGTGAAGATGTGGTCGATGCAGCCCCGACCTCGAAGAAACCCGGCTTGCTCTTCACGAATCTGGCTTTCACGAGTGCCAGTCAGTCTGTGAAGAATGACAGAGGCAAGCAATTTAGAGGCGATCGAAATCAGACTGATCCCTCTATGATTGCCGCATTCCAAACGGGAGTTTCCCTTGCAAATTGTGACAATGACGAAGCGGTTCCAGTCTGTCGGGACAGTCTCCTGCTCCGAAAGTTTTACTAGCAACTAGTGTAAATCAACTACTAGAGCAGTTCCCTTCGATTTTGAAGAGGGCTGGGGGAATTTTATCTGCCCCTGCGGCCTTATGCAATTTCAACAGCCTGATCTCACGTTCGACTTCTGCGCGTGAGGGCGGATCCAAGGAGACGGCCCAGGGAGAAGGGCGCTCAATGTCCGAAAAGGAAACCGATAACTCAGGTTGGTTAAATTGTTTTTCAAACTGTTCAGCCCAGCGCTCCAAACGTTTTGACAGGCTGTGGATCGGCTTCCCACTCTCGTCGCGTATGGTCTCGCTAACACCAGGTCTCCTGCTGCCTGTTTCCCGTATCAGACGGAATAACTTACGATGATTGCCAACGGTAGCGGCTGTTTCCATCTCAGAGGCACGATGAGACCACCAGGTTTCGTGGTTTTTCTTCAGGCTAGCACGTAGTTTTGCTCTGCGATTTTTGCGACCCACATTTTATTCGCTTCCAGCCGGAATACATCGGTGGCGTATAAACTGCCAAGGCGGTTACTGATTATTCGAGAGTAGTAGGGGAATGTAATGTTGGCTGTAGGATTGAAGGCTGGTAGCTTAGGTTGTTCAGATGGCGGTTGAACTGTTCGCTGGACTTGGCTAGTTTGTTGCAATTGTTTCGTCACCAATCGAGGTGACATCATCAGTGCGTAGTTGGGTGGCGTGCAGCAGGGTAAAGGATCCTCTCACTCTCTCACCGAGGCTCCTTTACGCTACTGCACGCCCCCCAACGACGCACTGATGATGTCACCTCGAATGGTGGCGAAACGTTTGCAACAAAATTGCCAAGCTCAGCGAACAGTTTAACCGCCATCGGAATGTAATGTGTTTTCGGGTAGATTTTCACAGCTAGACTCATTCAGAGTCACCACATATCCAGGATAGCGCTGGACGACTGCGCTATATCGGTTAGAAATCAGCCATGGCGATCCGCCGTCGTCATCCATGGTTTAGTAGTATAAGTTGCCGGCTTGCGAGAGTACGGCTATGGGTTCGTATTCGGTGGATGCGCACTACTAACGAATCCCAATAGGACGGAACGACAGTTTAGCACTTTCTTGGGTATGTGGTGTCTGAGTTTAACTGCGACGTATCTCAAAAACACAACAAATTCACCTACCACTCTGGTCACAGTCTTGCTTCAACCACCCGAAAGGGTTATATCCAAAGTACTCGATGGGTATAGAATGCTGCTATCCTGTAAACTGAACACATGCAGGCTAATTCAGCTGCAGTTTAGCAACTAGCCGCACCTGTGATCCTCTCACTCCCGGCCTTCAGATATAGGTCTCAGCGCAGTGTCTCACTGGCGGCGATCGCCTGCACTAAATGAGAGATTGATTGCGTCAGGCCCCATCTGCGTGCCATAATACGCGTAATGATCATGTGAAGTCTAAGTTAGTCCTTGAATAACATGTATTCGTATTTTCGCGCCTCATCTTAGCTCCATTTTAACATCGACTGAAAAGGGCATTGCCATCACTTCATTTTTGAGCAGACGGGGCGTTTATGACGTCACTGCTCAGACATGATTACATGGTGTCACACCCAATCACTAGCTGCTAACCGCGAAGTAGAAAGTAGCTTACAAACGAACTGGCTAAATGACAAGATTCCGACACAATGGTTGCATCACTGAGTGAACACCAGAGTATTTTTGTGGATGCACGTTGCCTCATTACTGCCCCGGCAAAATCTCTGCCACTTCTTACTGACTCAGAAAGTGCTGTAGTTCTCCGGCCAAATGTGAATCGTAGGGAATATTGTTCTAGTCTGTGATCGTTTCTCTTCCGTCGCCAACTGTTGGGGAACACCAGTCTGCACACTGCTTGAGGTCTGCCACGTGTGGAATTCAAGAACAGATAGCTAGTCGTATGCAGGACAAACGTACCAGGTATCACTGATCGGACTCGGGTCAGTTCGTTCACTAGTGCACAAGTCGCATGCAGCTGATCAGTGTGATGACGCTCTACGCAACTGCAGATTGGGTAGCATTTTAAGTTACACCTTTGCAGCAGTTATTGTTCCACTACTCCATAATCAGTTCACACTTCTCACAGTTGGTTTCATATAGTAGCCACTGCGTCGAAAACTAGCTGAGAGGAGGCTTTTATTTATCATCGGTTCTACTGTTGGTTATGATCCAATTTTATTACTTAAAACGTAAACCAAACAGTCTTCATCAGCTCAGTGCCCTAATAATCTTAAACTTAATCCAATCCCCTATGAAGTAAGAGAATATGTACAATGAGGTTATTCATACGGAGCCGAATGAACGCAGTGGTTTCCATGGTAACATGGCTATTCAACTCATCCGTTGATTGCGGACAATCGTGTACATGAATCAATCAAATCGTCTCACTGACAAGTAACCCACCTCATGCAGACGTCCGGCTCCGAGAACCAAATCCCCCAAGCCAATTGTCGAAAGTGTTATGAACGAGAAGTAGGCCGAGTCTGCAAATGACCATTCCTCCCACAGTGGAAAAATGAGGCCCCCAATGGCAATGTAGGCTGTCAGAACAATGACGCTGACGATAAGTGGTACTGCCAGCTCTTCTGATTGTTCGGATTCTTCGTCTACCTCCTCGTCATAGTCTATGACCACTGGCTGCATCTGAACCAGGAATATAAATTAAGGGCAAAATGTCAAATAATTTTAACTATGGGCTACACTATAATGCACGATAAGATGGCACACAAGTTTAATCGTGAATTGGATGCTTCTTATAACCACAGCACTATTTCCCTAACAAAGTCGTCTAAACTCTCAACGAGAATTTTTCCCTTTTCGAGTTTGACAACCCTAGAAAGTTCTTCTCAACTTGGCTGCTTGTATCCACAAATTAGCTATCTTCAAAGAACTTTGGAGATTGCACTCAGCTCCATGCACTTTGCTGCCCGAACCTGAACTCCACTGAACCTGAACTTCCATTGATAACTTATTTAAGAATAAAATCCATGCTGAGAGACGGAAATCGGTGCAAGCGGGTGAGATGTCTGGTTGTTGCTGCTTACAAAGTGTTAGCCACAATAAATAAATATTTTATGCTCGAAATCATCGAAGCACACCATGTGAGGCATGATCAAAAGTTTACAGGCAATTCGCAACACGATGAGATGACTAAAAGGTATAGATGTTGCAGAAATAAGAAAAGTATTGGTGAGGAACAAATTCATTTGACGTGACGATAGTCTGTGTTCATAAGTTTCTAGTGTCAAGATAAGCAGTAATAACGTATGAAGTGCTGGTGATGGAATGTGCAGATAAGGAATTATCTTATCGTGTATCTATGAATAATAGTAAAATGTAGTGCTAATCAACTTACCAGTGTGAAGCCTTGTGCAGTGACTTTATTCAGTGGCGAGTCACATCTACCACGTCGTAGTGTTGTTAGGCGGACATCTGTGGGGAGAACGCTGGCCACGCGAAAACACTACGTCCTGGAACACTACCGTCGATGCACTTGAACGGTAATGTATAACTGGCAATGCATCTTACCGACCGATGTTTCGTTCGGCTATTCGTAGTCGAATAGCGCCCGGAAATTTTTGTTCGCTGACTAGACGTCTGCTACCCAGTCTCCGCAACTTTGCTTCTAATATACCGTCTTCTTGTCACGTTCTGGTTTACTCGAATGTATCATCGGTGCTTTTGCTTCCTCTTCCTGACCAACACAGGAGCTGTTAAGCAAATGCATTTTTTACTCTTCATAAGCCATAGTTCCATCGATCCGTCCTTAAGCGCATACATAAAGCAACCGACAGCAAGCAGCCTCATACTCCATGCAGATTAATATCGAAGATCCGATAGTCCTCACTGACCCATGAGGTTGAGTATCCGGTTTGATTAGGGTTCCAACAGAAATTGCGTGTCATAATCCAAACACAAGGTAAATAACCCAAAACCAACACTGAAGGACTGTTTGAAGCGTTCTCCGCTCAGAAACTGCCACGGTTTCCTACTTATTTGCATCCGTCATATTGAAGGAGCAGCTCTATGACTCGAACCCGGGAGCTTTGGAATGCCAGCTAAAATCCCTATGCCCAAGCTCCCTAGTCACGATGGACAACACTTGTCACAACGATCAAAGACTAAGTGGCGATCATTCGGGAGCATTTGTTTTGTGGATAGATTATGGTTTGGACCGCATTTGACTTTAAAGCGCACCTTGCTCATTTAGATCACTGGGACTGTGCTTGACACTGTGCTTCAGATGATTCTTCAAACAAGTGATTACTCGTTGTACTAAGCATTGCTCGCGATTCGGGGGTATTAGTCCAGAGGCTTCGACCGAAATCCCAACGTCTCATATTCACGTTGCACTCCTGCGTTCCCCATTGATGAGTGCACATAAGTACGAAAGTGACCGTGGAGTGCAGCGTTGCGAGTGGGTGACACGACATCCAAATGTATCAGAGACGATGAATCGCATCCCGGATCGAGGTTACGTGTCCCACACTACATTCACACAAG